GTTTTTTTTTCCCCCCCCCCCCCCCCCCCCCGCCACTGTTACAGTTTAGATTATAAACAAAATTATGTCAAATATCTTTTTTAGAATATATTCTTTCAAAACCTAAGTTTGGAGCCTTTTGGCGGTAGTTGTAGAACACAGAAAGAGAACCTTTAAGTCTGGGTTGCATACACTTAGGGTGAAGAGAACTAGGGAAAAGAGGTGATGTTTTTCTTTGAATGGGTTGGTTTCAAGTTCTTAAATTATTTTAAAAAAATAAATAATGTTTGGGCAGTAGCTAAGCTCAGCTACTATTTTAGAATATCTTTTGGCACAAATGGATTCTCAGTTTGCATTAAGACCATTTTTTATCATGTACCCATTTCTAACTTTGCATGTTTATCAGGACTTTGTATGACCTGTTTTTTTTTAGATTTTGTGGTGTCTGTCTAGATCAAATTTTGTAGCAACATTTTGAGCAGTAAGATGTTCAGATTAATTTCAGATGCTTTTACTCTGAGCCATTAAGGTGTATTTCCTTTGTGGTATGTTTGGTGCCCCCCCCCCCCCCCCCCCCCCCCTTTTTTTTTTTGGGGGGGGGGGGGGGTTTTTTTTTGGGGGGGGGGGTGTTTGTAGTTTTTTTTGGTTTTGTTTTGTTTTTTTCCCGAACTCCATATATTTTTAGGATTCCAGCATGCTGATAGCAGCTTTGTAAGTTATGGTGAATTTTCTGTTCTTTTTTTTTCCACCCTTCATTGTATTCAGCAAAGAAGGGACAAAAAAAAAGTTTTAACTACTGGGACACATGAAATCTTGAGAATTATGTACTTCTAATATTTCCACTTCAGTTCATATTAGTAACACAGAGTCAATTCTGTAACTCTGTTTGGGACTGCTTATTATTTGGAGGAATTTAGAAAATATTTGGCCAATTATCAACATTTTATTCTTCTGTTTTAATTATCAACTGTTTTGTTATGAAGTATTTTGTAAGCAGTTTGCTTAATCTCTCAGATGCCTTGCCAATTTCTTGCAAGTGCAGACTCTAAATGTTTGATATGTTAAATCACAGGACAATCAGCTGACCTCTCTCCCCTTGGACTTCGGGACTTGGACTAGTATGGTAGAACTGAACTTAGCGACTAATCAGCTCACAAAAATCCCTGAGGATGTATCTGGGCTTGTTTCTCTTGAGGTGAGAAGAGTATAAATGAACAGCTAAGTGAACCCCTGCAAACAGGCATTCTCTACTTCAGGTTTAAGTAATATTACTTTGGGGTCAAATAAAGCCAAATAAGTACGTGTATGTATGCTATTTAATTAGATGTGTTGCATCTGTTTATGGTTATTGTCAACAGCTTTTTGAATGTTGTTCTTCAGGGTCTAGATGAGTGTGCACAAAGGGCTAAGTACCTATATATTTTTAACTACATAGAAGGAAAACTTTTCTCAACAGAAAGTTAGTGTTGTAAATGCAATGGCACTGAACTCAGCTTGATTCCTGGAGAGACCAACATGGAAACGGCAGGGATCAGAAAAATGTAATGAAATGGTCTACAGCCAGAGGTGGCTTGAATGTAGCTCTGTGAACCTTGTAGGCAGCTGGGTTGGAATTCTCAGCCTTTGAGGGGGGAAGAACTCGTAGGTTGAAACTGTGAACTAAACCTGTTGTGTCCCCTAGTCCTGTTTCCCAAGGTACCATCAGCAGAGACAAACTTAATTGCTTTGGAGGGACATAAAGGTAGAGGGGCTTTTTTGGGCAGCTGAGGGGTCTTCGTAGCCTCTGTGCGCTGCTGGGAAAAATCTGTTCAAGTACGATAGCAAATAGCGTATTTGAAATTGCAAATTTCCAGTGTGACTGCTGCTCTGAATAATTAATAACTCCTGTAGTTTGGAGCAAAAATTATATGGCAGAGTAATAGCTATTTAGTGGCCCAGTTCCCTTTAAGTTAAGGCTGTGATTGATGTGATTGGGAAGTTAGTAACCTCTAACAACTGGATTTGCTGGTGGTCTGCCGGCTGCTGAAGCTGGAGAGCTGCATGACCCGTTAGCAGTATTTTTCTCTGTAATTAAAGTATCAAATACAAAGAACTATTTGGGCAGTGTTTACACAAAAGTGAACGTTCCCACAGCAGTGCTAAGTCAGCTGTGTTGCATGTAGGTAATATTTTCTGTTCCTGCCTTTGTCTCTTGATATGCGATTAAAACGTTACTATTCTTATCATTCTGTGTATATCGTAGTGCATAAAGGAAAGCCAGCGAAATACTGCTTGTGCTAATGCTAAGACTTTGGCTTTTATTCATTTTGATTTTCATTTTGATTTTAGCCTTGTTTTCTATTCTGTTCCTGCCTTTGGTGTTTCCACGTTACATGAAGCTAGTGAGTGTTGGGATTGGTAGAAGCCAGGCGTTTGCAACCTTGGCTGGCTTAGCAGGGAGTTGTGTGTGGCTAGGATGAGGGTCCACACTGGGTACTCTTTCACATCTTTGTGTTTCAGTGTGCCTTGTTAAATAACTAGATAATAGCATTGTTTAATCAGTAATTAATTACCTTACTACTCACTGTGTTGTTGTGAGGCTTGACTGCTACTAAGAACTGCAAGACTTCTCTGGAGGAAAAATGGTATACTAGTGTAACCCCTGTTAACTTGCTTGTGATATAATGAATAACTCTGTTAATTGACATTGCAAATAAGGATACATTTCTTGAACCTAGGGTATTTATAATTCAACTTAGAAAGGGGGAGAAAAACAAGAGGATAACACTGTAGTAGGGGTGGGTGTGTGATAGGAGACCACTTTGGTAAGCCAGTGGATACCTATGCAGTGTTCTGCTTGGGTGCTCTGATCTGTATGTTTACTTGCTGCTGCCCCTAAACAAAGGGACATAGGGAGAAGAGGAAGTATTAAGCTTTTTAAGGAGGCCTTGGCAAGCACAGCAAATAATGTAAAACATGATTATGAGATAGCTATAAGGTAGCATAATGAAATGATAGGGAAGTACAGGAAGAAAGTGTTTTTCTTTGGTCATTTGAAGAAATAAGGTGTTCTTCATTTTTACTCTGCATCTATTATTATGTAAAATAATATTTGAAAGAATTCTGTCAAATTTATGTATTTGTATCATTAAAGGCTTAAAATGATTAATCACTGATTTGATTTTTTTTTTCTTTTAAGTTTGCTTCTGTAATTTAAATATAGGCTAATCTTGGACTTCATTACTTGAAAATATAAAAGATCCTGTCTTAATTTGTTATTTACTTACTGTGTTGCTGAAATTCTGTGTGTTTGGTTGTGGGGGTTTTTTTTAGGTTCTTATCTTGTCAAACAATCTACTAAAGAAACTTCCCCATGGAATTGGAAATCTACGGAAACTACGAGAGTTAGATCTAGAGGAAAACAAACTGGAATCCTTGCCAAATGAAATAGCTTACCTCAAGGATCTGCAGGTGAAACAATAATTGGCTAAGATAAACATCTTGCGTCCTTTATTTACACTGTGCTGATTTAATTACAGCTAGTTTGATGAGGGAAACTATTTGGGACTGGACATAGAACCAGACGTTAAGAATCTTGTGCAACTTCATCCACAATCTGTCCCCACTAATTCTTCCCCAGATTTATCAGTTAATATTGAACAAACAAATTTTGAAGAGTTTAACTGTTGTACCATAATACTGCCACAGGAATAGCCTCTGATTTCATTCATGTTCATGAAAGCTTTTATATTTAGGCATGTGTTTTACGATGCACTATTTTATTTTTATGTTTAGTGGTGCTTAATAGAGGTCTGAAATGTTGTTGAAGGGTACAGGTTTTTTTGCTCAAATGCTAGAGAGTAGAACCCATCAATTTATCAGCTATATATCTTGTTACTTGCTGTCATTCAAAGCAAAAGTCATTAAGTTAATTTTTAAAAATGTGTTTTTTCCCTTAGAAATTGGTTCTGACTAATAATCAGTTGACCACCCTTCCCAGAGGTATCGGTCACCTTACCAATCTGACACACCTTGGACTTGGAGAGAATCTTCTCACACACCTTCCTGAGGAAATTGGTAAGATCCCTTTTTCTGGTTTTATGCAGTGTGCCTGAGCCAAAGCAGTTACTGACACATAAGATAGGCATCTACTGTGTTTGTGACTAGTAGCCACAAAACTCATTTGAAACTTCTAGATACATAGAACCTGATGTGAAGCATGTGCCACAGGAACAGCAGTATAGTGTATGATCTTTATCTTGCCAAACTGTAGTGAAACGAATGGTCTAGCTTTTTCCAGTTCTTCTGCAGAAAGCTGCCGAACACACATTAACTTGGAACGTTGAGATTCCTTTTCTCTCCAGATTCTCCCACAATTTGCGTGTTATCAGTCATTCAACTTCATAAACCTATTCTTGGAAAGAGAAAGGAAATGTACTGGTCCTACTCTAATTCCATGGTGTAGCCAAAAACCTTGTGTAAGTTGTAGACAGCTGAAGCAAATGTTTCTGCTGATAGTTCCTCTGCACACGCTTCTCTTTATAGACCATCATATTGTTTTTCACCTTGATGAGATAAGCAAAGGAAGTAGAGAAAATCTACAGAAAGAAGGGAGAAATAGGATTCTTTTTGTCTACTTGAGACATTCAGAGTAAGTGGGATTCAGAGCATCTGAAAATGAAAGCCCATGTTTCTTTTATAGTTGGTCCAGAGCATGATTCTGAGCACTTAAGTTAAAATCTTAAAGTTAGAGCTTATTATGGAGGAAAAAATGATGGGACAAGCTACAGAAAGCAAAACGTGGCCAGAAACAATGATGTGCAGATGGGGAAGGCGTGGTCTGTCTCTCCCAGCATCTTTAGTGATAAGCCATTGCAGCTTCTGCTCATCTTGTATGTGCCTCAGTGTGAGAAGAGCCTAAAACAATCTAAATCTGGAGCTTTGTAGTTTAGTTCATAAGTTAGTGGAGAGAGTTTGGATGCTGTGGAAATGAGCTGTGGAATTAAAATCAGTAAGCACACTGGAAATACTATTGTAGGAGTACAATTTGGTTATTAAAGCTGCTTGTCTTAACAGCTTAGAGAATAGTTAACTGTTTTTAGAGGTGACTGCTTCATCTATCATGCTATGGGCTATTTCTCATTATTTCTTCTGTAGCCTTTCATTTTTGTTGGTTTTCCATGCCTTGAGCCCTGACTACTGCTCTCTTTTGTAAAAGATTAAATAGTCTTTTAGGTTAAAGGAGATGTTTATGGTATATAAGTTTGGAAAACGGGGAATGTTTTGAGGAGGAATTGTATGTTTGGAGTGTATTTCAAAGATATGGATTAATTTTGATATTTTATTGCTGTGGAGGAATGGAAGTCTTAAGAAAGAAGAAATTACTTTGTCTTCCAGCTTCTGGTTAATCTATTGCAGTATCTGTAGTAGAAGCAAGTTGTAAAATTTGAATTCAGGAAAAAAATTTCACACAGGTTTGTTCCATTGAATAAATTCACTGCTGTGCAGAGATCTCTCCTGCTTTCTTCCTGTAGCACATTACAGTTACAGCTTCAGGTCTTTAATATATGGGTTCTAATTACATAAATGTGTGGCATAGATATTTTAAAAGAAATAATAGAAACTGTATGCTATAAATATTTTCTAGGCCCTTCTAACTATATTCAATGTTGCCTGCAGTTGCAGAGCACTTGGCTAAACAGTTATGGTGAAGTCCCTCTCAGTTATCTGACTCTGTGTATTCTCAGTTCAGTTGTTATCTAAAGGAGATGTAGTAGTGGATATTTTTACAGGAAACTAAAGCAAATTGGTTCTTGCTTGGGTACCAGTGAACAGAAAACTTGCTGTGCTTGAAAACAGCAGCTTGGATGAGTCACTGACTCAAAATTCTATATAGTAAAGAATCTTCAAGTGGACTTAGACCTTCTGTCTAGAAGTTATAAACTGCATGAATCAAAAAAAATACTACTTTGTATTATTTTATTTTAACCAGGTACACTGGAGAATCTGGAAGAACTGTATTTGAATGACAACCCCAATCTGCACAGCCTTCCCTTTGAGCTGGCTCTTTGCAGCAAACTGTCAATAATGAGTATTGAGAACTGCCCGCTCAGCCACCTTCCACCTCAGATTGTTGCAGGAGGACCCTCCTTCATCATTCAGTTCCTAAAAATGCAGGGACCATATCGTGCCATGGTCTGATGCTAATCGGATTGTCCAATACACTGTACAAAACACAAACTGCATTAATGTTGTAATTGTCTGTATATGTATATATAATATAATATATGTGTTTTATATTATATTATATATATATATAAATATATAAATAATATAAAAAGGCAAATTTAAGACTGCATTATGTGTTTCTGCTAATAGAGGAATCATAGCCATTTAGATTTTTTTTTTATTCTGTAAAAATGCTTGTCTAAGTTTTCTTTGCTGAATTTGATGGAATGTCTGAATAATCTGAAAATGCCAGTTCATTTAAAGCAATTGCCAATGAACTCAAAGTTTAAATTTAAGGGACAAAAATAGTTTTGCTTAGATTTACTTTCAGTTAAGAGAAATGTGTAACCTTTATATAATGAACTTTTCTGTTTTCCTCCCTCTTTTTTTTTTTTTTTTTTTTTTTTTGTCAAAACCTGAAAGGGTCATGTGTCCTGAGGTTGGGATTTTCTTTTAACTTATTTTGAGATTTGAAGCAAATGGTGTTTTTATATTGTTTACAGTCAGAGTAAATCACTGGATTTTGTTTTATTCTGATTTGCTCTGTTTTAATCAATCATATCTAGAATTTATATGCCTCTGCTGATGAATTTTTATCAACTGGTTTGTATACTAAAAACATATACTCATCAGAACAACTGGCAGGTGAAAAGGATGCAGTCAAAACAAAAAGAAAAGAAAAAAAAAGCTTGAATTCCTTTAAGTCTTGCTTCCCTGAGTTATCAGTTGCAGGCATAACATATCTGAACTGAGCCTTTTGCGGTTGGTCTTTTCTAGCACAAGTAAACCTTTTCAGATTGGTAAAAACATTGAGTATACTCAGTGAAGAGCGGTTTTCATTTTGTGAAGTAACAAGTCCATGAGGTCTAACAGTACAGTTAAGTGGCAAGGAAATAATATATATGTACATTTTTATTACAATGTTGAGTCATAAACTACAACAGGCAATTTTAAGGATTCCTTATAGTCCTTGTACAATAAATGAATGTGTCTTACTTTTAAACACTGCAATATATGTAAGTTTTAAGATTGGTTAACAATGTACTATGGTTTTATATCTTGACTTGCCTTGTACCTCCTTCCATTATGGAACTTCTGTGTCCAAGCACAATATCTTCACACTGTGCTGTTTTGCTGCTGAACTAAATGCACTTTTCCCCACAGCTGGGGCACTTGCTTCAAAATATTCAGTTCAGTATCTTGATTATTCTTTTTTAACTTCATCCTATCTGTTTCAGTATTAAACCAATCTATTAAAAAAGAGGCACCTTTTTCATTTGTGCATAGATGTTGGTAGCTCAAGAGAAACACTGTAAGTAGTGGACATTCAGTTTTATCATGACTTTATTGGTTGTTTAAAAGGCAGAAGATGCTTCAGGGAGACTTACACTATTGCTGCACTTGTAGGGCCAGTTGTCCTTTTTCAGGAGGGTAGGAACTCGAGGCGGTTACATTCCACAGTTACTCAAGAACTGTCCAGTTTATAGTCATTGGAATTGCTGCTGGGGTAGTGTGACTTACAGGACTGTACCTTTTGAACTAAATCAAATCAATTGATGCCATGGGAAATCTATTTCACATGCAGAAGTTTGGGGAATATTATTTCTGGCATGCTTACTTAGACGTATTGCCGTGATCTATTTGCATTCTGTTTTGTCGTACGCCTTTTCATTAACAAGGAGTAAGTTTTAATGGAAGGCAGGTGGAGATATAAAACCTTAGAGGGCTTAAACATGCTGTAAAACTATTGTAGATGTCACTGGATTTTACTAAGTAATGTTCTGTTCTTTCTCACATGCTCTGTCTCTCTGTCCCCTCCCCCCCCCCTTTTTTTTTTTTGCATCTGCTGTAGCTTTTCAGTTTAGACTTTCTTTAGTTTATAAAAGGCTAGTTCCTTACAGTTCTGCCTGAAGTTAATCTTTCTCAGCATTAAGGTGTTAAAATATGAAGATACTGAAATGCTTAGTATCAAGACTGTAATCTAACTTCTGAATATACTGCTAAATCCGTATTTGTGCCCTCAGGTCACTAGAGGAAACTGGTTTGATTAATATGGTTCCTTAAAACAAAAGTGGCGACCCCTTGTGTTCTCAAGCATTGGTCTCATTCCCTGTCTGCTCCTCAGTCCCATTTTTATAAGAGTTGACGGGATTGAATTTGTTTAGTTTGTAAATATGTTGATTATTCACCTTGTTAAGGTACATGGTTAATGACTGTATGATTGGAGCTGACCCTCTCTCACATAAATTCTTGTGGAGAAGTTGGCTACCAAAATAGTGCTCGTTACACTCGCTTAAAAACAAACTATTCTTTTCATTACACTTATAGGAATAAATAAAGCTATGTTTTAATTCATTACTATATTAAAAACAGGATATTTTTTCAAACTATCTTTGTACTAGTATGGTTGTTGCAATGCCAGATAATCCTGAGCCCTGTTTTAGGAGTTTAATTTTATACGTTCTGAGGTGAATGCTTATTTTTTCAGTGTCTACAGAGAGATTTGAATAAAAGCAGTGTGAGAGAAGTTCTGGTACAGGAGAAAGCAAGTCAAAGAATTTGAAAAGTTCTTTAAAATTATCCAAAAGTTTAAGTATTAAATGTGGAGCATGGATTGGGAATAGATGCATATAAATCCATATAGTACATACATGGATTTATATCCAAATCTATACACAGATCCGTATAAATCCAGCTGTTTTGATCATTCAAAACAGTCTTACATCCTGACATAACAGACTTGCATTTCCCAGGATGCTGGATTGTTAACCAGTGCGGTTTCTAAATTGTATTTAATGCCTGATGACATTCAGTTGGACACACGTGTTGGCTTATACGTGTTTAAGAATTTTGTTTGGCCTAATCAAAGTATGAATGGAAAGAACTTCATCTGGACAAGTATGTATACATACATACATATATGTATATGTGTATCTATATATGTATGAAAGCATAGACAAGGTGGAGAAATTAATTCTTTATGGCATCTTTGAAAACATGATGGAGAAACAGGTGATTCCCAGATAACTTGTATTAAATATTTATCCCCCTTGCCACACTGGGGGAAATAATTTAGCAGGCTTATTGAAGAGTGTGACAATCTTTACTTTGGGTGAAAATCATTACCTTAATTGCTTGCCCATAGACAAAATATCAATTTTGTATGTGTCTGTGCTTATGTACATAAGAATATGTACATATACACATGCCCCATAAAGACACTATCCTGAATCATGCCTTGATTTAACAAGCTAAATTACTGTACTATAGACTCTGTAGTATTATGGAAGTCTGTTAAGGGGTAAAGCACATTAGGGATTTGTTAAACAATGAAAAGAAGGAATAACTGCAGTTGTGACTCGTGTTGGTCGCATACTGCATTTAAATTCACTAAATAGAAAGTTGTTTGGTAATTCTTTGCAAAAATGTTTTCTTTTAGTATAAGGAGTTAAAGTTCTGTCTCTGGCTGTCCCATATTTAAGTTCATCACCAAAGTTGTCTAGTATAAATGCAATGGAAATGCTGCTTGTAAAGTTGGGTCACACAGTTATGTAATTGGCACTTTTCCGTTTGCCAGATGCTATTGGGAACTTTGAAATTCATACACCCTTTTTAGAAAGAGATTTGGGTTGTAGAATATTTGCTTCAGTGCCTCTCTTGGATTTAGGTTTTCTCTGCAGTTTTGTCCATCTTTTGCTAATGTTGTGTGAGAAAGTGCATGTTCAGACTTCTTGAAGGTTCTGTTTGCTCATGTACATGATTTAGTAAATTAGTACTCAGACTGTCTAGCTGGTTAGTGCTGAAACCCATTGTGTCACCTGGAATTCAAGTATCATCTTTAATCCTGGGAGTTTGAAAAATAGCTTTTATTTAACAAGTAGAAAACTTTGAGAGGTTATTTCTCCCCCCCCCCCCCTTTTTTTTTTTTTTAAAACCCCAAAAAAATAAATTTTTTTTCCCACACAAACCCATCTGAGGGGAGTCTTCAAATCTGGATGCAACGAAGAATTTTCATATAGTCAGTAGCACACCTCGGTTGTATCAAATTGGCATGCCGGAATAGCTTCTAATTAGACATTAGAAATGTGCAGTAATTTGCACAACACAAACTTCAAGGCACAGTAAGGACAATTACAAACAAACAATAGTATCTACAAATGGTTTTTGGTTTTATGTTAGCAAAGATCAGAAAATTATGTTTATTATTCCGATGTTTAGGTCTTATCCAGGACTGCACAGGACTTTTGCTGTGGAAAAATACCAGACCACGCTAATTTTGTGGTTAAAAGCTAAACAAGAGTGTAAACAGTCTACAAAAATGTACTTTTAATCTGAATTATTGTAATGTTGATTGTTATGTCTATATAAAAGATTGCCTTGCTTTTTTATAAGAGTCATTCTGTATCAATGCATTCATTATAAATAGTATATTTGTAAATAAGCTGCCACTGAGTCTTTTGAAAGTTTTCTAGTATTTCTAGTCTAAAATTAAATTGGATGTAACTTTTGCAGCGCCCCAAATTATCAAGAACTGCTTTCTCATTATATACTCATCACTCTTCAAAAGAGCTCAAGTAAAATATAGATTGTCATGTAGAGTAATTACAGGAAACTTCAAAAGTTGCATGATAGTAACTGCTTTACTCAGTCATGTAGATTGGACACCTTTTATAAAGCAAATGTTGGTAAAATCTTTTATTTTCATTTTGTTATTGTACAGTAGGGCATATAGTAAAAAAGAAAACCCTTTCTCTCTGAAAGGGAAAATAAATCTTGGATTTTAGTGCAAAATGCATTTCAACAACAACAAAATTAAAGTAGGTATAGAATTCTGGCGCCTAAAAGACAGACAAGGGCATTTAAACTTCTGATTTAATAAAAGACAATATTGCCAAGCTGATGTGACACAGCTCTAAACCGATGTCTTTTAACTCTGTAAAGGTCATTACGATAGACAGTCTTTCAAGAAGGTCATGCTTACATCATGTCCTACAAACAAAAAAAATGCTAGTATCCTTTGAAATTAGAATAGAAGGGCCTCACCAGTTCGGATACGATGATGACGAGGAGGGCACTGGTGTACTTGGTATAGCTGATAACTTAAAAAAACGGAACGGGTTCTTGTAGTGTGCAGCAGTCACTCATCCAGTAATCTGAGAATCAGCAGAGATCTGATGTAAGGACAGAGATAAAAATCAGTAGAGGGTCTGATCAAACTGCCGAAAGGTCTGTCTGTGCGTTGAGTCAATCCCTGTTACTGTAAGTGATCCAGCAATCTGAAAACAAGCTAAGGAATCGGCCAGTCTCATCACAGGAGTGGCTGTCCTGTGCCGTGGTGTTGGACCACGCGCCATCCCTCCCCAGTCCGACAGGGCTGAGTGACAGATGTGTACGGAACATAACAGGGACACGCAGTTCCTCTGGCGTACTGCTTCACACCTCACCACCCAGAGTTTGAAGGGCTTGTGACAAGGAAACACCATCTGCATCACTGCATTTAGTAGCCGTTGATAGATTAGGCAAATTCACAGAAGAAAGTGCTTGCTTTTTTTTTCTTTTTTTTTTTTAAATTCTAAATCTATTTGTATTTCTGGCCTCTGCAACATCCTGTATCTAATAATTCTACAATATAATTATGTGCTGGGTGAAAAAGTACTTCCTTTTGTTTGTTTCAGACCACACCACCTTATTTCATTTGGTGGCTCCTAGTTTATGAACAAGCTTTTTCCTGTTCATCTGCTTTTTACTATTCTTGAGGGTTTTTTTCATAAATGGCAGTGTTTTTTCTTCAAGTCATAGAGTTCTAGTTTCTTAGCTTCTCTTCAAACAAAACCTCTTCCATTCTGTGATAATTCTTGCTGCCTTTCTTTATAGTTTTCTAGTCCCAGCTCTGATTCTTTTTCCTAATTCATGGCCTTTAGCAAGCTGTTTTGTTCTTTGTGTGCTTCTAGTTTGTGAAATAAAAGTACAGCTCTGTTATAAAAATGAAAGTTGAGTGGGTGA